GTCCCAAAATAAGTCCTCCTCTATGGCGAAACGGCGGCGGCTCCGGCAGCAGCGCAGGCATGACAGGGCAGGGCCGTGGCTGCAGCAGCGGGTTTGGGCCTCGGGGCGCCCTCCCTCGCCACTGAGTGGAGAATGCGGGCACAAGGAGAGCCTTAATGACTGCCCCATTGACAGAAGGCACCCGCCCCTGGAGTTACAAGAGATTAAAAAAAAAAATCTTCCAACCGTTTTCAACAGATGAAAGTAGAATTGCACATTTTTGGTTACATATTGTAACCCAAGACAGTTGTTTAGAGAAAAAGATCTTAGAGCTGATACCAGGCTTTGGAATATTAACTTTGTGGTTTTCATTAAAGGATATATTGTTTGGAGAAGTCACAAGTTCCAGCGATGAAGAAATTGGTTGTGGTGCTTCTGCAATGGACAGTGTTTTACATGAAGACCAAGTTCAGCCTCAGATTTGTAACATGTTCAGCCTCAATGAGGAGTGTAACAGACAGAATGAATCATGTGAACATGGTCTTGATGCAGAAATCTCACATAACCTGAGTTGGAATGAAAAGATGTCAAGCAAGGAAGATAGAGATGCTGAAACAAAGCAAGCTGATGGTGCTACTTTAATTACAAACATGGAAATGAACAAAAATTGTTTGGGAGAGAGTTCTAAGAATATGGAAGCTGAGAAAAGAGAACTAACTGAAGCAACAGCACATGAGCTGGAGGCCGTCAGAGAACACAGAGGAGATAGTGAGGACATGCACAGTGAAGAGGGAGGTCCTTCAGCTGATTTTATGTTACACAGTTTCAAGCCTCAGAATCAGATGGAAAAATGTAATGACATAGAGCAAACAGAAAAGAATGATACCTCAATCAGAGCTGTTGATTATGAGGATACACATGAAAAGCATGGTGAATTAATGAAAGCAGAAAGAGATGGATTATCAGAAGAAACTCCCAGGGCAGTATCTGTCCCCCAGAATGTTACCCATTTGCCACTTGAGCAGTGCATTGTTTTTCAGAGTGAAGATTCCAAGAAGGAATCTGATGTGTTGATACAAAATGAAGTGGTTGAAAACAAATCAAAAAATGCTATCAAGGTAGTTAATGTGGCAAATGATGTAGGGGAAAACATAAACCAAGTGATAATTGGAGAGGAAATAACAGCTGCAACACAGATAAAAGGGCTCTGTGCAAAGGCAAATAATGAGAGAGCACGCTTTGAAAATGTGTTGTCTGATTTCAGTAGTTCAAAATCCTTCTGTGAAGTGGAACGTTCTAAAGACCTAACGGTACAGCGTGATGGGGAGGTAATAATTATGGAGACCGAGACAGACACTGGAGCTATTGAGATCTCTGCACACTCTCAGTGCTCTGGAATAAAACATGACAGTGAAGAAATGGTGGAGAAACAGTATGTGCTAACAATAAAAGATGAAGTGGACAGAGAATACAAACCAGAGACTGTTAAAGTCTCTGGACATTATTTGCCTGTGTTTTCAATAGAAGGAACTGAAAATTCATTGCCTGTGAATGACATAGATCAAAACATAGCTATGGAGAGAACTGGCTTGTCAGCCATTCCAGAAGATGATGAACAGCTCAAAACTGAATACATTAATATAACCAGACCTGAGACTATTGAAGAAGCCATGAAATTCAACAGAGAGAGAGTTCTAGAAATAGCTGGATCTTCAGCGTTACTCCATAGTGCAGAAAATGAAGAATTAGTAGTTACAAAGGAGGAGGGATATTTAAAAGGCAAATTGCACCAGGAAGAAAATGTTAGTAATTTATTGCAAGGGAAGTCAGACTTGGAACGCATACTTGCACTACCAAAGATGACAATTGTTATTGGTGCAGAAAGCAGTGTAGCTAAGTGTGAATCCTCTGTGTTAGATTTTACAGAAATAAAAAGTGAGATAAAACAGCCTGAAAACCTATGTAGTACATTAGAATGTGGGTTGTTGAAAACTCAAAACTTCAGAGTGTTTGAATCTCAAGAGACTGAATTCAAAGTTAATCCAGAAGATTTCAGAGAGGAAAATAGTGAGCTGCTTTGGATGCCATGGAATCTGTCCTGGTAGAAAGTAATCTTACTTCTCAGGTACACTTTACAAAACCTCTGAATCAGTTCTTGGTAACTGAAAATGTTAAATGTGGTGAAATAAAAGGAGAATTAAATAAACAAAGCAAGGAATTGGTGACTGAGACTTGTTGCAGTTCATTTAACTGGGAGGAGAATGTTCTAAAGAAAAATATTTCAGAGATCATCAGCCAGCCTGCTTCAGAAATGGGAGTTAATAATGAAGTGGCTTCTCCTACTCAAGGGGACCTGGAAGTGGGCTGTATAAATACTGAAGAAACAGATTCTCCAGTGCAAGTGGAAATTGATTTGAAATCTATAATGCCTCCTGATCCCCATTTCCATCTTCAGAAAGTTACCAGTTATGTTGAAACTAATTTCACAGAAAAGGCTGCTTTTTCCCACACATGGGAAAAGAAAGGAGATAAAAGTTATGTTATAGGTAGTACACTTAACTGTTCTTCAGAAAGCATAGAAGAGAGTGCTGAGATCCTATCTACTGAAAGACACAACATGTGGAAAGAATTGGGCTGCCCTGAGAGGGAATATGTACACAAAGATGATGTCAAAATTCCAGATGAGAAGGAGCAGCCAGTAGATAAAGAACATGAGGCATCTGTTAAATCACAGATCGTGGATGAAAACTCTTACAATAAAAATAATTTTCTTCTCCAGAAGTTTGATTGTCAGGAATCAGGATGCAGAGCTTGGGAGGTTAGAACAGATCTTTCTAGAACTAGTTCCGTAACAGCTCAGGGAGAAAGCAAAGCGTTGAGTAGCTTTGAAGCATCTGGGGAAAATGCCATAGAAAGGTCTGAAAATGTCTTTGATATACCAGCACAGAGCAATGAATCTGAAGAGAAAGACCGTTCTATACAAAAAATAACACATGTGAAATATTCTGAATGTGTTCCCATGTTCAATAAGGAACTGAGAGCTTCCAGGAGAGTTGCACTGGGTGCTCTGGAGACTGATGGAGTTGTTGATGCTGATCACCAAATATGTGAACTTCATTCAAGAATGCACCCAGGAAATACTTTGACAGTTAGTCATCTGAGAGCAGATACTGTGGTGGATATGGATACATATGTTTGTTGTGAAACAAACAGCTCTCCAGATACTGCAAATGAGTTGGCAGATGTGGTTAGGGAGGTTTATCCTAAAGACTTACCCTCTTGGCAAAGACAGTGTTTATTGATAACCTCTGAAAATACTGAGGGTGCTAATGAATGCGTGGTCGATTGTAATAGAGCTGGATGCATCAATGACAGTGAGGAATGTCTGTTAAAAACTGGGACATCAAAAGAAAACCCTGTGATGCTAAATCCTGCAAAAAATAGATTACCACTATGCCAGATGTTAACTAGATTCTCAGAAACTTGCAGACTGTCTGTAAAAACCAGCAAACTAAATACAGGAACGTTATCACTTGACAATTTCTTAGAAGAAAATGAGTCTGAAAAACTTCAGTCAAATGTGGAGCAAAGTCTACTACATGGTGTTGATATGAGGTTCTCAGTGTTTGAAGAATATAGTCATAATCAAACTTGTACTGCTTGCAGCATAGAAGACAACATTGATGTTATCCTAGATGGTAGCACAGTAAGACAGCCTTCTGACTCCCCCAAAAAATTATTTGAGAAGCTATGTGTGTTGGAGTCAGAGTCTTGTGTGGATGTTGCTCTTAAAAAGAGCGATAAGTTGAAGTGCAAAGAGCAAGAACCATGTGAAATCTTGACTGTTTCAACCAAGACAGCTTCCCAAGTAATGCATGTCAAGCTAGCAAAGAGGCTGTTTCAAGGTAAAAGGAAAACAAAGACTCTCAAACTAACTCAGCCAGCTCTTGCAAATGCTGATACTTCTGTGCCAACAAAGTGGTCCTCTGAGACTATAAATAAAATTAGGCAAGAGATGGGTCCTCCTCTGCCCCCCTTGCTATTGCCTTTGATTGCTACTCCTCCAAAAGCTGTGTGTACCATGTCCCCAGTAATGTCTTCTACTGGTCGATCCTCTTTGCTTTCCCCGCTGGATGACATGATATCTCCACTACGTGAAACTCCTGTTCCTCTCATGTCTCCATTAGCAGAGACTCCAACAGTAAAATCTGCTCTTTTATTTTCTCCTCCATCACCCTCAGAAATGACAGTAAGTAGAAGGATTCGCTCCTCACCTTTGAAATTTTGTACTTCCATTCCAAAGCATGCTCTCCCTGTTCCAGGAAGATTTCCTCTGTTTGCAGCTGATAGTGCTCCTCCAGTTGCTCCTCAGGAGAACTCTGTGAAAATATTGGACACTATGTATCCAGAGCTGTCTGCAAGGGCAAGGACGCTAAACATTCTGAAAGGCAATATTCAGGTTAATCGATGTGCTTTTTCAGACAGCCAAAGTTTGCTGGGACCTGTGGCTCAAACAGGTGGATTCAAAGCAATTGCATCTACATCAACTGCTTTTGTTAAAGCTGGTAACAATTTGAAATTTTATAGTAGTAAAGATCAAGACAAAGATGTGCAAAATCAGCAACTGTTTTCAAGCTCATCGAATTGTCTCGAAAAATGGACACTATTCCCAGTATCTATGCCAAGAAGTGCAAAGAGACTGAGATTGGACAGTGAACCAGCAACGCTGGACCCCAATGATATTGCTGCTATTAGAAATACTGAAAATACAGTCTCTGAATTGCAGGAGTCTTTCCGTGACAAAAGCTGCAAAATCTGTGATTCAGCACAAAGTTCAAGTTTAGAATCATCACTACTAGTAAAGGAGGTTTTTGATCCTGACTGCCAAAAAGTTTCTTTGGCATTGAAGAAAATTGCTGAATCCTGTTTTGATTTGTTACCAGTTATTAAAGGCCACGTGTATGTCGGCAATATCTCAAAGATTCCAGTAATGAGAGATGAAGAGAAAGAGGTTATTTACGAATTTGGTGTAAAAAACAAGGTAGGTAGCATAATTTTTAGTTCTGTGTTTTAATAATAGCTTGAAGAGTTGCCAAATCTGGTAACTTCAAAGGAGCAAAGCTGCGGCAGCTTTATGTTTCAAGGTCCAGCCAGTAGAAGGGCAAAGTATGAACTTGTAATAGGCATACATGCACACAATATGCGCTTAATCTTGTTCCCTTCTCTGGCTGATCAATGTGAAAGCCTGGTAGTGGAAAATGCATACATATATATGCAGACAGTATAGATCCCTCCAGTAGCTAACACTAGACACTCAGTATATCCTCTTCTCCCTACCTGTCTCATGTACTGACAGATTTACAGACACAGAAACACACACACATCCCTTCAGTAGCTGATCCAGACCTATGGCCTTACCTGCATCTGACCCTTAGACTGCTGAACTGTCACGTAGCTCTTGGACCTCCTAGTTCATCATGAAGCCAACACTCAGACTCCGTGGTCTAAAACCGCGCCGTCTACAGCACCTGGCTTCGAAGCCTGTCATTCTACTCCCTGTTTTAGCCCTCCCTCGAAACATCCTATAGTAAGTCTTGCCCAGTCCTAATATTCTCTTTACTTGATATTGAGTCCCATATTACTGTAGACAGTAACATCCCCATCCTAGCTCCTTCAGTGTGTGAGGTGATCTGTGGAGAGACTTTGATGACTAATTCTAGCAGATCTTACACCTGGACAACGGGCTGTTTGCCCTCCCACGACAGCTCTGGGAGTAGCAAAGTCAGGGTGGTCCATTTGATCTGATCAGGTTATTTGGTTTCATTTACCTGTCATTATTCCTCTCATGTTTCTTTAGTGAAGATAGTTTTTAATCACATAGCAATATAGTTTATATTTAAAGGATAGTAGTCCTGTTCTCCACATCTGTTTAAGGCATATTTATTCTGGGAGGTTGCTCCTCAACTCTTTTTTTCTTTTGCTGGTTACCTATGATTTGCTTTTCTGCATTTTTTTTGTATGCAAACAGTATTCTTGCAAACAAGATAGTAGCTCATTTTACTTGTCATACTACTATGTTATCAAATATACTCAAGTATATAACAGTCTAACTATTTTTTGTGCCTTATAGCATTTAGCAGAGTCCTTACTGAGTGTTATTCTCAGTAAACTCAAGGCTCAGAAGAATGCCACAAATTACAAGTTCAATCAGGCTCTGTGTCGGGTCTATACAGGAATTTGTCGACAGTTGGGAGATTTGGAAAGGGCCCGCCTTTTCTGCTATAGCCTACTTAAAGAAGGTATAGTATGGCTTAGTGATCTTGTATCTTAAATATGTTCTGTGTCTGCTGTAGTGTTTCAGAATGATTGTGTTTGTAAAAACAATCAAAACAATCCTGGAAAGGGACATTTTCATTAGAGTTTTTTTCCATGGTGCAGAAGTATAGGGTGTTCTAAAAGTAATTTCCCTTCTCACAGTTCCTCTACATCTGTGTCTCAGTTTGGTGATGACCTGGGCTCTTAGAAGTCTGCTTGTTTTTCCAAAGAAAGGTTTTATTTTAGGGTCCTCTGTGCTTTCACTTTTGCCCCACTATCTCCAACATGGTATTGTGATTCCAGGGAATTTTGTACTTTTTGCTTATTAATATTTTCTTATTTTAACTGAGTATGCACTGTTGCATAAAGCAAGTGTGATTTTAAAACTTGTATTAGCTTAAAATATTGTCAGGAGTTGGAAAATACCTTTATCAAAACCGGTGCATTTGTACATATCCTCCTTAAAGTTTTATTACTTCCCGTTATCCAAATTCTGGTTTGGTTGAGAGTGTATGGAAAATTGTGTTGCCATAGGTCAGCATTCACAAAGAAGAGGAGTCTTAACTTTATTTGAATAAAGGGAGATTTCACCAGGGTTGCCAAGTCCCAGTGAGATCTCTCAAATTGCTGGAGTATGCAGCCTCCTTTTTATCCTAATTTCCTGGCTGCATGAAACCCCTTCCCCATTGGCTAAGGTACTTAGGAGGTACAGACTTCCCGATCCACCTATTATATGTTTCCCCTTAACATGTACCCCTCTTAACAACATACATAGCATGTTTTATTAACTCTAACCTCTAACTTTATGCTGGCCAAGGCAGAGAAGTTAATATTCATAGGCCTATTAAGCCTGCGCACTCCTTCTCAAAGTTCAAAAGTTTAGAGCATCCTTGCTGTTGACTTAATTAATAGCCCTACTGGTCAGGGTATCTCGTTATCCTCTCCTTACAGACTGCATCCTGTGACTCCCTCGTTTATGAAGGACACTCTCCTCTTTGTTCCATCACTATTATGAAAAACCCACACTCTCCTTGTTTTATCACTCATTTGTAAAGACACTCTACTCTCTTGTTCTCTCAAGAGTTTTTTCCATTTTGATTCCCTTTCTCTTACCCTCCCTCCTTCTCTTTTCTTCCCAGTAATAAAGGTAATACATGCATACTATCACTGTACTAAACTGAGTGTGTCTTAGTTCTGGAAGAACTTAGTTTGAAAATACCGAACCCTCCAGGGCTCAAAACAGTATACTATCTGTGTTTCAAATTAAAATGAAATAAAATTTAAGAACACTGAGGAACAAAATGCTATAATTTTCAATTGCTTCAATTAGTAGTTATCTTCCTTTAAACATCCCTGTCTTTTTTCTATTCTTTAATACTGATAAGGAATGTAATTTTCTTTTGAGTGGTTTTGTTTGGGATTTTCTGGGGTTTTGGTGTTGGTTTTTTTTTTCTGCTGGGCTGGGATATTTTTGTTTGGGTTCTTTCTGGAATTTCTATTTTCTTATGAACCGCAGGCCTGTCAGACTGACTTTGGTACCAGGGAAGATTATGGAGCAGTTCATCTTGAATGTGCTTGGGAGCAGTTCATGTTGAGTGTGCTCACACAGCATGTTCAGGATAACCAGGTGATCAGGCCCAGCCAGCATAGGTTCATGAAAGGCAGGTCCTGCTTGACCAACCTCATCTCCTCCTATGACCAGGTGACCTGTCTAGTCAATGAGGGAATGCTGTGGACATTGTCTACCTAAACTTTAGTAAAGCTTCAACACCATCTTCCACAGCACTCTGCTAGAGAAGCTGGTGACTCATGGCTTAAACAGGTGTACTCTTTGCTAGGTTAAAAACTGTCTGGAGTGGCTGAGCTCAGAGAGTTGTGGTGAACAGAGTTAAATCCAGGGTTCAGTTTTGGGACCAATCTTATTTAATATTTTTATCAACAGTCTGGCTGAGAGGATCAAGTGCACGCTCAGTAAATTTGCAGATGACACCAAAGGGAGTGGGAGTGTTGATCTGCTGGAGGATGGGAAAGCTCTGCAGAGGGATCTAGACAGGCTGGATCGATGGGCCAAGGCCAGTTGTTTGAGGTTCAACAAGACCAAGTGCAGGGTCCTGCACTTGGGCCACAACAACCCCTGGCAGCGGTACAGGCTTGAGGAGGAGTGGCTGGAAAGCCGCCCGGCAGAAAAGGACCTAACGGTGTTGGTGGACAGCCGGCTGAACATGAGCCAGCAGTGGGCCCAGGTGGCCAAGAAGGCCAACGGCATCATGGCTTGTATCAAAAATAGTGTGGCCAGCAGGAGTAGGGAAGTGATTGTGCCCCTGTACTCGGCATTGTTGAGGCCACGGCTTGAGTACTGTGTTCAGTTTTCGGTGCCACAGTATAAGGAAGATATCAAGGTGCTGGAGCAGGTCCAGAGAGGGGCAGTGAAGCCGGTTGGGGGTGTAGAGAACATGTCTTACCAGGAGCAGCTGAAGGAGCTGGGGTTGTTTAGTCTGGAGGAGGCTGAAGGAAGATGGCATTGCTCTTTACAACTACATGAAAGGAGGTTGTAGTGAGGTAGGTATTGGTCTCTTCTCCCAAGTTACTAGTAGATAGGACAAGAGGAAGTGGCCTCAAGTTGCACCAAGGGAAGTTTAGATTAGATATTAGGACAAGTTTCTTTACTGAAAGAGTAAGACATTGGAAAGACATTGGAACAGGCTGCCCAGGGAAGTGGTGGAGTCGCCATCCCGACGTGTTAAAAAAACATGTAGACATGGCATTTCAGGATGTAGCTTAATGGTCATGCTAGTATTGGGTTGATGGTTGGACTTGATCTTAAGAGATTTTTTCCAACCTTAATGATTCTATGATTTTATATTTTTCTGTCCATGCAATCCATCATAACTCTCCTTTCACTTTTTTCATGTTAGTAGTTTTAATACTGCACCATATCAGAAATTTACTTGTCTGACATTTTTCCTTAGTCTAAATTAGCAATTAAGGCTTTTGTTTTGCAGTACCTTGGTACTTTTTGTAGGCTTTTGCAATTATTGAACATTCTTCTTTTTTTCCTTTCTTTTTCTTGATAAGATCCAAACTTCAGTAGCTAAATGCAAATTTTTTGTTGAATCATTTTCTATTCTGTACTTTGAATTGCATAAATTCCTCTTGTGGTTGTTCTGTGGTTTTGCTGTAATCTTTTGAGTGTGAATAGCTCTAAACATATCTAAAGGGTTGTTTGTGGGTTTTTTTACTTTGTTTATTTTTATTTTATTACATTGCATTGCTTTTAGGGTTTTCTCTTTCATGTAGTTTCACATATTAATTCTCATCAGAATGATAGCAACAGAAGTGTAAGCTGTGTGCCAGCTCACTGACTATAAACAGTCAGTACTTCTGCATTAGACTTGTGTCATCTGTTCTCTTGACTTCTTGTCCATCCTACTTTGTTCTCTTCTCCTCTCATATATTCTACATTAAGTGACTAAAAATTAGATTTTACCTTTCTTTATTTTTCCTTTTACCCATCCCCTCTTTTTGCTTTTCTTCTTTTGATGTCCCTTTTACTCTTACTCATCACTGAGTGAGTCTTTTTAGGTGTTCCAAATTCATGGGCAGTCAGCTTAAGTTGCAGAGACTAGATAATTCTAGTTTAGCATGAGTCCTTGTTCTGACAGTCAAAAAAATGTTTATTCTTAGGTGCTGAAGGGCTTGGAAGTAGAGAAGGTCCACCCAAGACACTGGATAGAACTCTCTAAATTTTGTTTGCCCCTTGAGTCCACTAAAGCTTCTTGATTTGATGTATTTTCATATGTGTTGCCTGATCTAGTCGAGAGGTGGCGTCCCTAGCGGCAGGGAGGCTGGATTAAAATGATCTCTAAGGTCCCTTCCAGCTTAGGCCATTCTATGATTCTATATCTCATACGCTCTCTAGCTCTTAAGAAAGGCATCAAAGTGCTGGTGCAGGTACAGAGAAGGGCAAGGAAGCTGATGAAGGGTCTTGAGAACAAGTCTTATGAGGAGCGGCTGAAGGACCTGAGGTTGTTTAGTCTGAAGAAAACAGAGAGAGAGACATTATCAGTCTCTACAACTACCTGAAGGGAGGTTGTAGAGAGGTTTATGTTAGTCTCTTCTCTCAAGTTACAACTGATGGGACAAGAGGAAATGGCCTCAAGTTACACCAGGAGAAGTTCAGGTTAGACGTTAGGAAAAACTTCTGCACTGGAAAGGTTATCAAAGACTGGAACAGGCTGCTCAGGGAAGTGGTTGAATCATCATACTTGAATGTGTTTAAAAGCTCTCTGGATATGGTGCTTAGGGACATGGTCTAGAAGTGAGCCTGGCGGAGTTAGATGACAGTTGGACTTGACGATCTTAAAGGTCTTTTCCAAGCAAAATGATTCTATGATCTTTCTAAAAATGCAGAATTTATGCTGAAGTAGAGAAGGGAAAACACATTTAGCTTTTCTGTTTGTATTGGGTTTTTGTAGCTTTTTATAGTGACAATACTGTTTTGGACATATGTATTGCAATATTGAATTTCATGATAAAAGTAATACCTACTTCTTTATTCCAATTTATTTTTTCATTGCTTGCAATCCACATGCTCATGTTTTATCTTAATATTTTGCCTTGAAGATCTCTACTTTGGTGTTCAGAATGTTTATTACCTTCCCTTTGATGGCCTGGAGCTCTGTCCTCTAACTTTTATAGTTCTGGATATGTTTATATATATCGTTGTCAGATACTGCTCTGAATTAATTTAATGAATGAGATTTCTTAAATTACATCAGTAACACACTTTTTGTGTATATGGAAATACAAATTTTGACATGCATCATTCATATACACTCACTTACAACTTGTATAATGTATTATTTCCCTGGTGAAGTCTGAGAAAATTGCTGAATAGCATCAAATTTCATATTTGAATTGTGTGAAAGTTCTTTGCAAAGCTGGTGTGTTTCTTAACATGGATTTCGTAGGTGTATGAGTGCAAGCTGTTATCAAGTGCTGGGGATTTGTACCGAAGTCCTAATTTTCACGTTATTACATGTCTCAGGATTATTTTTTTCTTTTGGATTAGTTCTAGTTTGATCCAGTGATCAGTGCTTATTTGTGACTAGAGTGTATTAGATAGGCTTTTAGAGTGTATCTTCCAGTTTAATTTTGTGCTAAAAGAATCCAGTTTCAGTGCTCCAAGGCCACTCTCCTTAGTGAACTAAAGTGCAATAAGAAGGATGAAGGGAGACTTAACTAAAAATGCAAAAGGAGTAGTTCTTTTGCATTTGTTACACAGCAAAGTGAAATGAAGCCTGTTTTGGTTTTCCTTAAAAAAAAAAGATTGACATTACAATGGGGGAGGTGGCTTAAGGGGAAGTGTTTTTTTTGTCTTGAGTCATTTTTTCTTATTTAATCTCGGGACTGAGATGTGCTAGTATGACTCCCCTTCCCTGAGCTGCACTTGTTACACGACTTGTGCCTTCTTTCCTAGGTATCTTGCTGAAGAGCATACTAGGTTTTAATGCCTGAGTATACATTTTTTTTTGTTTTAAATGTTAAAAGCTTACTTTGTTCTTTTTTTTCCTTAGACTTTCCAGACTCAGAAAAATTGTTTTTATTTATCGCAAATGTATGGTCTGACATATTTGTCTTCCAAGGTGCAATTAACAAAGCTATGCAATTAGTTGTCAGGCAGACTGCAAGCAGTGAGATGCTGGCCTGTTTGAGTGCGTATCTCAACTGGGAACAGGTAATGTCTGCTTTTATTGTCAATATCAGCTTTTGCCTGCATTGTTAGCTTTGCTGGCTGAATCAAATCAACTAACTTACTTCTGATGAAGGATGTGTCAATCTCTCATGGATATTATTGCACAGCTAATGCTGCTTCAGACCTTTCTGGGATTTTCTACTAGAACAAAACACTTTTTGTTTTCCCTATTCAGGGCTAATCCCTCAATTAAACATTGAAAGTGAACATTCTTTTTAAACTTTCCTGGAGTGTTCTTGGACTAGGGAATTCTGTCATTCTATGGAACTGTGACTTTGATGTTCTTTGAGGTGGTTTATTTTGTTCTCGGGGGGTTTTAATTTGTATTGGGCTTGTCTTTTATAGTTCTGTGTGTAATAGCTAATTATTTATCACAGTTAATTTCAAGATGAGTCTATCTCATTTTACTTATGATCTTTCTCTGAGGTAGACTATAAATACCCATTTATCACCAAAAAGTTTCAGCCAATTAATTTCATAAGCACTTGGCATGATCAATACAAAACTGCAGTGGTGGCAGAAGAAGGATGACCAGTGTTAGGGACTTTTGAGATTTGATTTCAAGTCTTCGAGTGCTTAGGCAAGTAATTTCATTTCTGCCAGTTTTCAGTAGGCAATATTACCGTCCTGAAAAGGATGTGGCAAAGAGGACAAATTGGGACACACTTGATATCAGTAGGAGCAAATTTATATAATGCAGATGGAAAGACAGAGGTACTTTGCTTCTGGAAAAGGAGATTGTGTAACAGGTCTGTGTGTTTGCTTGAAGGCTAGGGCCCAGTAGTTCTGAAAGCACCATGTTAATGCCAGGCTTACTTGGTGAAAGTGCTGTAGTTCTGTGAACACCCAGTGAACAAAATTGTCTTGATTCATGGCTCCTGTTCCCTATCCTAACATGCTGTTCCATAACTGCCTTGGGGAATATAAATCGTGTGCAGTCACATTCCCTACTGTGTTTATGGATGTCTGTGAAATATGAGAGCTGCTGCAGCTGGGCAGGACCTCAGAAATTTCTATATTGATCATAGCAGATAAGATCATGCTATCTGTAAGATGGTTTTTACTTGAGTGGAAATACAGGGACAAGTTTCAAGTGGATTTTGGTTGACAGTCTGTAATACATCTAATTTTAGGTTATTCTACATACGAAAATAAAACTTATGTAGAATGAGTATTTAGTTCTTGGTCAAACTGCCATTTTAATGTCTTACACTGTTGCAGAACATGGCAATTATATGAGTTTCCAAGATGTGTTGACCACCCACAGTGTTTATGTGATAAGCCTAGGGTTTTTCTTAATACTTTAGATATTCACAGGATGTTTGTTTTTAAATTTCATTACTTGCTTTACCTGTTTAATTAGAAGAATATTTTTACATGATGTTTCCAGTTTTTACTGCCTCAACTGTTGAAAGTACTTGCTTGGAAATTAGCCCACTAATGAACAATAAACAGTAACAAATTTCAGCATGAGAAAATAATTAAAAAAACCTCCAAACTTAGAAAGTGAGCAGGATAATTCCAATTTTGCATTGGAAAACACTCTTCTGACCTTAAATCTTCATTGAGAGAAACAAAAAATTCCAAATTTTAGAAGAGACAGAGACTGTAGGGTTTGTAGTTTTTGTTTGGATTTTTTTCCCAAGTTCTCTTTTTAGTAAAAACATCAAGACAGATACTGAGTACATGAAGATTTTAGTTTACGTACTAGTTTTGTTTATGTTAAGTCAAACTCAAAGTTAAATTATTGTTTAAGATACTGTGGACAGTCAGAATCAAATATATGTAAAGAGTTTGGTTCCGAGTTGGTAACTTTTCATGCATTGAGATAATCACCTTCTAAAATTTCAGAGTTCCTCTTTAGATGCTGGTATTATGGTCTCAAACCTGCTTCTAGAAATGCAGTCATGTCCAACTGTAGAACTTCAACTGAGTGAGCAATATGGAGAAGATCTGAGTGAAGATGCGTGGCAGTACATATTTGCTGTTGAGCTACTCTGCTCTCATCTGAGGTGGGATTGGACACATGACAATGTTATAAGGTATTGTGGCAAGGAGTTGTTTTAAATGTTTCCCTATGTGGTTTTTTTGTGTTTTGTTTTGGTGTTTTGTTTTTTTTTTCCAAATTTGAGACATTATGATTTAGCTTTTAACACAATGAAACATTGCACAGATACTTAGAGATGAGGGCATTTTAACCTGATGAGACCCAGACTACTGTTTTTGTGCCTGAAGTTACAATGAGTCATCCAGTGAGAAAATGTATGATTTTATGGTATTGGTCCAAATAATTAACCCTGTTTGAACTGTTCTAATAAAGAATTGCTTTAAAAATAGCAATGTGTGGACAATTGTGGAAGATTTTGAGGCACATTTTTTTTGTCAATGAAGCAAAACCTTGAAAGCATTTTACACTGTCCCACATGACATGACGTCCTTGTCTGTAAATTGGAGAGACATGGATTTGACAGATGGACCACTCAGTGGATAAGGAATTTCACTGTGAGGGTGACAGAGCACTGGAACAGGCTGCCCAGGGAGGTTGTGGAGTCTCCTTCTCTGGAGACATTCAAAACCCACCTGGATGTGTTCCTGTGCGACCGACTCTAGGTGATCCTGCTCTGGCAGGGGGGTTGGACTAGATGATCTTTTGAGGTCCCTTCCAACTCCTGACATTCTGTGATTCTGTGACTAGATGGTTGCACTCAAAAGTTGTAGTCAATGGCTCAATACCTAAGTGGAGACCAGTGATGAGTGTGTTTCTCAGGGGTTAATATGGGGACCACTGCTGTTTAACATCTTTGTCGGTGACATCGACAGTGTGATTGATTGCACCCTTAGCAAGTTTGCTGATGAGACCAAGCTTTGTGGTGCCGTCAGCACGCTGGAGGGTACGGATGCCATCCAGAGGGACCTTGACAGGCTTGAAAGGTGGGCCCATGCAAACCTCATGAAGTTCAACAAGACCACGTGCAAGGTACTGCACGTGGGTTGGGACAATCCCAAACACAGATATAAGCTGGGTGATGAGTGGATTGAGAGCGGCCCTGCAGAGAAGGAGTTGAGGGTGTTGGTGGATGAAAAACTGAACATGAGCCAGCAATGTGCTCTCACAGTGCAGAAAGCAAATCACATCCTGGGCTGCATCAATAGAACTGTGGCCAGCAGGTCAAGGGAGGAGATTCTGCCCCTCTGTTCTGTTCTTGTGAGACCTCATTGGAGTATTGTGTCCAGCTCTGGAGCCCCCAACAGAAAAAGGACATGGACCTGTTGGAGTGGATCCAGAGAAGGCCATAAAAATGATCAGAGAGCTGTATTACCTCTCCTATAAAACAGATTGAGAGAGTTGGGAGTAACTCAGCCTGGAAAAGAGAGGGCTCTGGGAAGACCTCTGGGAACCTGTAAGAAAAGTGGAAGCAATCTTTTTAGGAAGGCCAGTTGGAACAGGTCAAGGAGTAATGGTTTTAAACTAAAAGAAGGTAGAAAAAGAAGGAAGAAATTTTCTACAGTGAGGGTGGTGAAACACTGGAACAGATTGCTGAAAGAGGTGGTAGAGGCTCCATCCCTAGAGACGTTCAAAGTCAGGCTTGATGGGGCTCTGAGCAACCTGATGAAGTTAAAAGATGTCCCTGCTTACTGTGGGAGTGTTGGACTAGATGAGCTCTGCACATTCCATGATTCTATGACTTCATTTTGATACCTAAACTCATCTTCGATAGCTACACTACTGATCTGATAGCCCCTATTTTCTATGTAGAGGTTACATTACCTAGTAGAATCTCTGAAAATATGACAGTTTTTTAACTATGAAATAGCATAATTATTGAATATAAAATAAATGCAAATAACTTAAAATCATCAAGTCTTTTATACAAGTTTAATGCTTCCAGATAGTAAAGAGGTTATTTTTAGTAAAATTCTTTTTAAAATTAACATAAATTAGCTTCAGTGAAAGGCTTGTCATTTTAACTGAAGCTTTACAGAGTTGACTGACTGTGTGGAGTTGTGCTGATAATGGGTAACTAGGTCTATTAGCATCATTTTAAGGATGAAAAAGGTCTTATCTTGGATCCTTTAAGATTTAAAAACAACCAGCTTCAATAACATCTCAGCATGGCTTTTTAAAGTAATGCAATTTCATATAAAGTTAATGGAGTAAGTTCTTGAGTTCGGAGATGCAGAATGTTGCAGGGAAATGAATGGAAGATGAACAGGAATACTGTTCCAACCAGGAATGATTCCTCCAGAAAATTAGCTTTGATCGATTGGGTTTAAAACCTTCTTTACATTACTCAGGTTTGTGGATGCTTAGGATATTAAGCGTTTCCCTAGAAGGTGAATTAAAGGTGAAAGTGGAGCTATGGAAATACCTGATAAGCAGAAGAACCCTTTGTATTCATCATTGCATAGATACTGTACCACCTCTTCATGCATTATCAGATTTTTAAATTCACTTGTCTTTCACAGCAAAGTGCTTTGGCCTTCTATGGATAAATGGGTAAAGAAGAGAAAGGGGCATGAAACTACTCAGTCTGTTCCTGATGGTGTTATAGCATTGACACTCAGGCTAATTGGTAAGTAATCTAAATTCTTGGTTAACTTCTGCTTTGTGTAAGTATATCCTGTCAAGTGTCAGCCTACTTTGAAAGTGAGTTGATGTATTTTTGCTTTTTTTTGGATCTTGATTTTTTTCACTTTCTTCAAAAATTTTCACCTTAAAAGCCAAACTTTTACATTCCTATGCAGGTGTTTTCTGTTTGTCAGCTTGTGGAAAGCATGGTTTTGAGAGATATTACTCTAGTTTTATTACAAATAACAACATGTTTTATATATTTAGAATTAACTAATGTGTAGCTACGTATGCTTTATAGCAAAATGTATAAAATAAGGTTTTCTATTCAACATAATACCTCTTCCTGCAATTTTAAGTTAGTTAGATTAATTTATTTGGGATCTAGATGGCATTCAAAGTAAATAGATAAACTTTGGGTTTCAATAGATATTTTCAGTATATAGATTATATAATCTGTTTGTTAAACAGAAATTGCACTCTTTCAGAGTTGTACTCTTAGAAGTTGGCAACCTGTGGGAAGTTGGATCAATCTGGATCAATGAAAAATTGCTTTGGGCTCTTTAGTCACAAAAGGAAAAGGACAACTACTGGTCCCAACACAACATGATAACATGAATGACTAATTTTTGTAAACGAAATTACAAAGTCTAAAAATGTGGAAGATGACTCTATAAATGTCAGGTACATAGTAACCTTCTTTTCTTTCAGGTCGATTGGGCCAAATAGGTTTGAAGGAAGGATATCTTGCTGCAGTGAAGAATATTAGTTCTGTGATTGGTCTGTTTGTACAGCATGCAAAAGAAGAAGGTAATATTTATTTAGAGAAACTTTAGTGTCACATCTGCAGTGGCAAGTTTTGCCAATGTAAACAGAACACACAAAAATGGAGACATGCATGCCAAAACAGCCTACTTGTGCAGTTTTATATTAATGATAACAGTACAAACACATTTCAGTTTGAGTCCCTTTCTGTTCTGAGGTTAATGAAGCATGTGTATTACCTTCAGTCTGAGACAGAACAACTCTGAGATAGTTTCAGACACCTTGGAATTAAACTGCTGCATGTAACAGCATATCAGCTGCCTCAGAAACTGCTCTTGAGCAGTAGTAGTAGCTAGTTTGTTACCTCAACTGCTCATGCTGAAGCTTGCTACTAGCAAGATTGTTGTATTGGGAGAGGGTTGCAAAGCATTCGAAATTCCTGACTGAGAGAAAAAGCAAGGCAAGTAGGACAGCAGTCGATATTCCTAAACTATTCTCGATTCTAAGTACATTTTGTAGTGAAGCATTGGTTGATGTTAGTGAGCTGTTTTGAACCACTTGTATAGCTTTTCTTCCTTGCAATCTCAGGTTCTTCCAAGTATGTGGTATATGTCTGTGTCTGTTTTAGGTTCTGTAAATCTGAATGTTTTCATAAAATTCTGATAACTCTTAACTAGGGTAAAATCACTAGATGCTCGAATCTTTTATGCCCTTAGAATATTGAAAACCTGTTGAACTCAGAAAACTGGAAGGAGCTAGTATAAAATGAAATGTTATGGAATTTGTGTGCAAATCTTGCTACTTTCTGGTATTAGGCATCCCAGTTAATGACGTGTTCTGATTCAGTTTCTTGGACTAATAGTTACTTTAGATTCAGGTTTCCCAAAACCACTATTTCCTATCAAAGTTTCTATAAGCTGATTTATGTTAATTTTTGCAGGTATTCCCTGGGGAGTGCAGCTGGCAGCCATATATTCACTGTGTGACTTGGGTTCAAGCAATCCAGAAGGTATTGTTGAGGCCATCCATGCTTGGAGAGTGACAGTTATTAATATCCCTTTTGCTGTCACAAGTGGCATAGCTGAAATCACTTCTCTGTGTAAAATGGAGCTAAACTAAAATCTAGGAAAGTGGACCAATCTAAAGGAAAAAGTGCCTTATTTTACTAAGTAGTAATTGATTCCAGTTAAAAACAATGCAAGTTTGTGTGTCCTTTTTTGTCTGATCACAGAAAACAACTGTTTTATTTGGTTCTTGTCTTTGAGCGAAGTTTTAAAAAAAAAATAATAAAATTACTTGCTTTTCCTAATAACAGTCAGTGTTCTGAAAAACAATGCATCTTTGACTGCTGAGGTGTCTCTAGTTTGATGTCAATAAAAATCAGTAATAATTTCCATTATTTTACTTCTATCAAATTGGAGCATGTGCTATTTAAAAAAACTGGAGGATTGAGCCTGGTTGAAAACTTGATTCTTAGTTTGTACTATATTTATATAAAATAACTGTTCAGATAGCAGAACTTTGCTGAGATTCTGCTTTATTTTGCTTTATTTAGTCTCATAAGCTTAATTTAAAATAACTATGTAAGACAGATAAGAATTGACTTTCTGTGAAACAATCATGTATAGAGTAACAGAGATACTAAATCTCTGAACTTGTATATATGGTATATTCTGATAATGTGTCTCACATTTGATCTTGTTCCAGTTGGGGAATTTGTGTATATAAATAGAAAGTTGGTTCAAAAAAAGTTCACGTTTTGAATAATAGCTTCACTGCACTCTGTGTTTTTGTATCTTTCATAATAAAAGAAGCAAACAACATTGTGTTCTTGCTGGTGTTTTTAAATAACACAGAATGAACTGTTGTTTCTAACTTGTGTAAATTCTGCTTCAGGGGGCAGGAGAAAATTACCTGAGGTCATTTCACTGAATGAGCTGCCTAAAACACTGTAGTCTGGCCATTGGAAAGAGGGTGTATCACATCTCCCCAGAATTGTCTGGTATGCCTTGGGGACTGGGGAGGTGGTTTTAAAAATCCATTGAAAACTTCCATTTTCACTCCAATTATAACCATAGAAAGAGGTGAGCTTTGCGAATGCAAATTCTTATTGTGGTGGGACCTAGAGTCTCCCAGAGCTTTGATGTGGTGTCTTTTTTGCCTTTTTTTTTTTAATTATAAAAAGGTCAAAAGGCTTTGTCCTGGGTTTAGCTAAAACCCAGTC